GTGTATAAGAGACAGGTGCTTGAATAAAAGAACAGTGATATATGTAATGTAGTAGTAGGCCTCGTAATTGGCATAGGGCTAGCCATCGACGATAGATAGTACCGGTAGATCTCATTATGTCAGGCTACGGTACTTCATCATATATACAGTACTATCTGTCCAGACGCGTGCAAAAATATCTAGAGATATACCGCATCACCATTAGGTGTCTTAACATTATGGGCATTTTTGAGTTCTTATTTATGTTAAAAAGGAAAAAAAAAAAAAAAAAACAATTTCACACTAACACGAATCTACAAATATGAAACGAGAACTTGTTACACGACAAAAAAAAAACAAAAACAAAAACAAAAACAAAAACAAAAAAGAAAAAAAAACAAAAAAAAATTTGATAAGCATTCTACATGAAAGTACACTAAAAATAAGAAACAAATAAATTACCAGGTGAAGGGTCAAAATTGACAAGATTAGTTTATACCAAGTAAAACAGGCAGATTGTACCGATGTCCATTTTTATGAATTCAGGAGAAAAAAAAATGTGGATAGATGTTACTTTATTGCTCAAAAGGTATCAAAATATAAAGTTGAATGATTTTTTCCTTATTTAGGGACTACTGTAGTTGTTGCGATAAGATAGAATAATAAAAATAATTGTCCCCATAATAAGAGTTAAATAGGCCATGTTTTGATATGACCATTATTTAGTGTACATTAAAAGTGTCCCCGTCCCCTTTAAAAGGGGTGTCCCCTTAGGGGTTGACCGTAGTGCTAAGAGATAATATTTCCCTTCGTTTCATGGAAGTGTCCCCTTAATAGGCGTGTCCCCTGAATGGGGGCTTCCCAAAGGAGGGTGTCTAGGCCTAATCCTACTCTGATTAACATATCTAATCTGCATTGTATTAACTGAAACTATTATATTTTGAACTTGAAGGTTTATCACGATGCTGTCATATGACGATGCCAAACAGTTTCTTGAAAAGATTCTTCATATCGAGAATTTTGAGAAGATGTTCAGAGAAAACAAACTGGAACTTTTACGAGACATTCTCCGCCGGTATATTCACGTCGAACCGTTTCAAGGAATCTCAAGCATGAGTACAAAACCAGAAGACCGCCATCTATTGACATTTGAAGAAATCAAACAGGATATGTTTGCAAGAAGAGGTGGTCTCTGCTATGCGACCAATCGATTTATTAACGTTTTACTAAACACAATTGGTTATGATGTATACCATAATGGTTGCACTGTTTTAAATAATCACAACAGCCATTTATGTAATATAGCTCGCGATCTTACAAAACCAGGAGACCTGCATCTAGTTGATGCCGGCATGGCATTTCCTTCTTGGGATCCGATACCTCTAGACTTTGAAAATGAATCCCCTGTTTACCATGTTGGCTTTCTCTATTTTAAATTTGTTCGTAAAGATAACACCATACTACGATTACATAAACACGATAAGCGGTATGATTTTCCAGTCAACATCGACAGCAAAGCATGGCATCAATTTTGGGAGATGACAACGGAGCCGCTTGCTATAGAAAGTTTTCATGCGATGATGACTGGTATTTACACAGTACCTGGCATACACAAGATTCCGTTTCTCGAACGCATAACATGTGTCGCGTTTGCTGAAGACAAACTGATAGCGATCAAAGATTCCACATTTTTGTTTGAGAATAATGATCATCAATTGGAAGTAAGAGAAATAACTACGCGCACTGAACTTGTTTCGACTTTCTTAGCTTACTTCCCTCAATTCCCATTGGACATGGTTGAGGCTGCCATTGACGTTGCACAGTCTCTAAAATTTGACAAAAACAATTTTGAAGATAAAACCTTGCAATAACATATACATAGGCCTATGCATATATATTCAAAGTTTTTGTTGCTTAACTCTGAGAAAACAAATAGTGTATGAATCAAATAAATAATAATGCAGTGCTCAAATACCATAAAACCAGCGGTGACACCAGAAATTTTCCGATATATATATATATATATATATATATATATATGTATATGTATATATATGTATATATATATATATATATATATATATATATATA